CCCCCCCCCTTCAAAATGAGAAGACATGTAAACAAGCCTCAAAACCAGACTTCCAGATCATCTACAGCAACCCCAAAGGGAAACAAGATGGAACACTCTGATACTCAACCACCTGGACTCCCTGAACTGGCAATGAAAGAGGATCTGGAAAAAACAAAATCAGAAATAATTTCTCAGATAACAGCAAAGATTGTGCTCATAGTGAAAGACATGATTAATAAATCTAGAGTGGAGCTGAGGAACATGAAGGAATCCCAACATAGGAAACAAACGGAATCCATAACACAGATGCAAACAGATTTCCAGGAGATTAAAAACTCCATTGAAAGTCCATGCAGCAGAATGAGCCAATATGAGGACAGAATTTTAGATATAGAAGATAAGATTGCAATTAGTGACCAGGAAAAGAAAAACTACTTTAAAATTGTAAGGGACCACAAGAAATCATTCCAGCAGCTGCTAGACAATGCAAAGAATAACATAAGACTGATTGGAGTCAATGAAGAAACAGGAGAGAGTGCAGATGAAATTTAAAAATTGTTCACAGAATTGATGGCAGAAAACTTCCCAAGCAGGGGAAAGGAATGTGACATACAGATAAGTGAGCCATATAGGACTCCAACTAGTCTTGATAAAAAAAAATCTGCACTTGGGCGTATAATTGTTAAGATTCCAGAAACCCAACAGAAGAACAAAGTTCTACAGGCAGTTAAGAGAAAAGAAACAAATCACATACAAAGGGAAGCCCATCAGAATCACAGCAGACTTCTCAACACAAACCGTCAAGGCAAGAAGAGCTTGTAGTGACTTATTCCAAGCCCTAAAGGAAAACAGCCTCTAACCCAGATTGATGTACCCTGCAAAACTATCTTTCACAATTGATGGAGAAATAAGATACTTTCAGGACAAAGAGCACCTTAGGAACTTCAGGCATACCAAACCACCATTTCAAAAAATTTTAGACAATATCCTAGGAAAAGACAAGGAGGATCATAATCCCCAGGAAGCCCAGCAGAATGAATCCACTGGGTGCAACAAGAAATTAAATGCAAAGGGGCAGAATCCAACAAAAAGAAAAAGTCATGACAATGATAAGTCAATATGTATAAGGTATAACCATCAATGTTAATGGTCTCAATTCATCAATCAAAAGAAATAGACTGGCAGAATGGGTCAAGAAGCAAGATCCAACAATATGCTGCATACCAAAAACACATTTAATTCAAAAAGAAACTCATAGATTGAAAGTTAAAGGGTGGAAAACAATACTCCATATGATGGGTACCTGAAAAAAAGTAGGAGTAGCTATCCGCTTTGCAGATCAAATGGATTTCAAACCAACACTGATTAAAAGAGACAAAGGCCACTACATCCTTGTAAAGGGAACAATCCAAGAGGAAGAAATGACAATCATAAATACCTATGCAACAAACACTAGTGCACCCAACCATATAGAACATATTAACAGACATGAAATATCATATAAGCACTAATAAAATCATAGTGGGGCACCTCAACACCACACTGTCACAAATAGATAGATCAACTAAACAAAAAATAAGCAACAAACTACTAGAACTCAATCAAACTCCTGAAAAAATGAACTTAACAGATGTTTACAGAATGTTCCACCCCACAAAATCAGAATACACATTCTTTTCAGCGGCACATGGGTCGTTCTCCAAAACAGACCACATACTCACTCATAGAACATATTTAAGTAAGTGCAAAGGAATTGAAGTTATACCCTGTATATTATCAGACCACAGTGCGATGAAATTGGAGATCAACAGCAAAAGAAACCGCAAAAATTTCATAAACACATGAAAATTGAACAACATACTTCTGAATAACCAATGAGTCACAGAGGAAATTAAAGAAGAAATCGTACAGTTCCTTGAGTTAACTGACAATGACAATACAATATATTGGAATCTATGGGACACAATGAAAGTAGTCTTATGAGGGAAATTCATAACCCCTGTGTTTTCATATTAGGAAAACACAGTGAGCCCAATTAAACAACCTGATGCTGAACCTCAAGCTTCTGGAAAAAGAAGAGCAGGACAAACCCAAAGCTCAAATAGGGAGGAAATTATAAAGATCAGAACATAAATAAATGCAATGGAGACTAAGATAACAATATAAAAACTCAATGAAGCCAAGAGTTGGTTCTTCGAAAGAATAAACAAAATTGACAAACCCAAAGCTCA